CAATTTTAAATGTATTTTGAGTGAAAGTGTTACCCTCTCTATTTCAAATTGTAAATCATTTAGGCTTTTCTATATATATATATATAGCTTTCACTATATATCTAGCTATAATATGTAATTAAAAAATCTAGCTATAACATATATTAAGAAACGTAGGAAAACTATATATTAAAAATGACAGAATAACTTACGGTTTGGAACGGAGGGGACATATTATAATAACGGAAATTGCTTTGGTTTTACACAGCAAGTATACACAGCAATGCAGCATGTCGACATAAGGCTCCGGATGTGGGGCCCTCCAGCAAACATGACCAGAGGCGCATGATGGACTATAGGTTTGGGCTGCTAGGCGGATACAAAACAAATTAAGATTCGAGGATGAGGACTCCGTCAGTAAAAAAACATAGGCTAACGCGAAGTTGCTACTCCTAGGTTTTAACTACGTCCGTATCACCAGTTCCCTGTCAGCTTTAGCTTGGGTGACACCACCAAAGACTCCAGGCCTCGATGCTACCATCATGTGGTCCCTATCAGCCGGCGGATCGGAGTAAATCTATGCCGCCCAAATTGTTTTTACTGGAGGCATGTTTACAAATCCGCACCTTTGAATATGTAGTCAAAACATACTGTTCAGAATCACGTTTGGTAAATTCCTCATAAAACCACAAATACCAATAGATTCTTTTCGTTGTATACCTGTAGATTTATTTGTGTTCAAAATACTTGTAAAATCTCACAAATTTCAAAGATTTTAATTTAAGAATATATTCTAGAAAATTAGCGGTCAAATATGCATCAAAGCCATGCATAATATAATGCGGCAAGTATTTTCTTTTACTAATAATAATGAGGAAGTTTACAAGTCAGTAACGTTGCATACACGGTTGGTCGTCTTCCGAACTGGGCCTTTTTGGAATTATGCATCTGGTAATATAGATGCTGATGTGCATATATAGTCCAACGCAATGCTCGTCTGCCGGCCCTCAAGAAAGGATTCCACAAGATATCGACGGATTCTATATATTTTCTACAACTTGTCTATAATTGTTGTTTGTCACTGTCAAATTTTATCCTTGTATTATAAAGATGAACTCTATGCTTAGTAAAACTAAATGAATTGCAAATAGAATATGGTTTTCATTTCAACTTTTTGTCACTTGCAGGGACAGTATTAGTTGTTAATCCATCCTGTTGAATCCATCCTGTTAATGCAGTTAAGGTCTCAGCAATTGAGCTAGGGCGCTCAGATCGCGGAACGAATCAACTTGTGGCGAACCCGCGAAAACCGTCCTGGCTGGTTTCAGAAATCGTCTAAGCTGGGTTTGGTAGATTTGCCTTGAAAACCTATGAACACCACACAAAAAAGGGGCTGACGGGCATGTGCACCTAAGGTTACATTAGTGTTGGCAGGTCACCTAAAGAGCCTACAAACTCCGCAAAGCAGCTTGAAGAACAGCAGGATATGGGGTTAGAAAAGTCAGGGCTTTAGAGAGATATAAAGGTGGACGTATATTGATTTTGGTTGATTTCGTAGCCTTAATCGGTTGTGGCATTTTATATTTATTATAGTGTTGGATAGTCATATCATGTAAGGAGTCATTTATAACTCAAATTCTACGCGATTCCTAAAATTTTATTTAGACTAGCCAAAACTGGCTATCACGACCCAAAGTCGTTCTAAATAAAACTTTTCCTCTTTGATGACCATGCACAGTCCTTGTTAACCCAAGAATCATCTCACCACACTCTACAAAAGGTTCCTAGTGCTCTCTACTAGGGCAAGAACTCCAAATTCGTGAATCAATCTCGTCGATTCTCCCTAATCGGCCTATGTCAACTAGGAGTCAACCCTAGTTAACCTACAATTGACTTTGAGAAGATACTCTGAGGAAGTTGCCAAGTAGCCCTCTCAATCTCTCTAATGGTGATTGTCAACCCCTAGAGCAAGACCAAGAACCCCAATGCCAAACACCCTTGTCTAGATCAAATTCTTTGAGTGATCTACCTGACCGTCCGGTGTCCCAGCAGATTGTCCGCCAGATCACTTATTTAGAAGAATTAAGTTTGTTGAGCTGTCCTTCTCTCCTCCCCCTTGGACCCACATGCTGTCAGCACAAAGTGGAGCCTTATGCAAGCAGAATCACCTCGCTCACTCTCTCACACTCATCCATTCCCCATCCTCTCCCTCTCTTCCCTCATATGAAGAACAACGAAGAACTAGAGAGAGAAAAGAAAGGAGAAGAAGAAAAGGGAAGAGAAGAAGGAAAATAAAAAGAAGATCAAGGAAGGTAGATCATCCTCTCTCCCAAGCATCAAGAGCATCTCAAGCTCTTCAATTCATCCCCATCTCCATCCATGGTGAGCTCAAGAGCTCTCTCCTCTTTTTCTTGAAATCATCTCTCAATCCTAACTCCTGATTTCTCTATGCATGGATGCAAGAAGAAGCTTGGTAGTTGCTCCATCATCTCAAGAGTAAGCTCAATGCCATCCCTCACTCAATCTTCCTTGATCTTCTTCTTAGGCATAGCAACGTATCTTTGACATTGGGTGATCTCTAGTCGCTGCCACAGAACCCCCACCCTCACTCAATCCTGGACGGAGCGACTATTTTAGCTTAATTGAAGATGAACAACAATCGATTTTGACAACTCTTAATTCTACTAAAATAATAATCTGTCCAGTTATTGTTTTGGTAATTATGATTTTCTTGCTCCGACCAATGAGGCTAACAATACTTTTTCAAGTATATAAGGACTTAGTCTGAAGAATGCAAATAGATGGACTTGATGAGTACACCTGAATACAATACCAAGGGTACGTGTTGAATACCATAGAAGACTTGTAAGCCACCCAAAGAATTAAGCCTTAGATAATAAAGACACATGAATACACATAATAAAAAACAAGCAAAACAGTGCATCGGATGAATAGACAGTACCACATCTATCGGTTTCCCATGTCCTGTTTGAAAAATATGGCACGTGGTGCGCATATTTCTCATCAGATGCTAGCACGCTGCTAGAAAAAGGCAGAATATTATTTTCGTGGCCAAATGTGACCTATGTGCTGTTTCTTTGAAAGGATGGCAAGAGTTTTGCTGTATTTTCATTAAAATAAGAATATTATATTAAGCAGAGGAACTGTCGGGTTGACATCTCCCCTGGCACCTCTCCTCCCGAGCACCCCCAATGGGCGACTCGGGGATAGCATGCCCGCGCCGCTCCAGCGCCCCCTTCCGCCACCTCTACGGCCACCGTTGCCGCCGCCGCTCTCTGACATGTGGCGGCAGCGGCCCCTTCCTTCCCCCACCCCTCGCCCCCACTCCTCCACCACCCAGGCTCTTCACCGAGCTTCTCCAGCGGGTCGCCCCACCAGCGGGCCAGATCTGATCTCCCCCTCACTGGATCTACGTCGAGCGCGGCGTGTTGGTAGCCTCTGGCCGGCCCGTGGCTACGGCTGGTCTACAGCTTTGCGGCTGTGGCTGTCTAGGACCGGCCAGCACCTGCCGTGTCTGGATTCCCAGCCAACCCGCGCCAGGGGCGGCTAGCCTCCCCCTGTCTGCCGATGGATGAGGCCGTGGTCCCAACCCTGGCTGGCCTCCCAACACTAGGGCCCGGGTGGCAGCAGCCTACTAGGCCCACACCTAACAGTGCCTGGCGGCTGGAGCCCTAATTGGAACGCTCCCTGCCGGCACGCGACGGCTATATTTGGCAGGCAGGAATGCCTACAGCCGGCGAGCTTCTTGCCGGCTTTGTGGTGGTGTGGAGGTTGATGTGGTCATGGCGCTTGTGCTAGCGGCTTTGGCCCTTTGCGGTCCGTGTTGCTGCTGCGGGTGCCATGGCTGGTCTGCAGCTGTGGATGTAGGGTATCTAGGTGAAAACCCTGTCCATTTCCTCTGGGTCAGCGGCGGTGGTGCAGCCTGCGCCATCTAGCTTCTTGGAGGCGTCGTCGAAGTTTCTGTTCTTCGGGGGCGGGCTGGGGTTGAAAGACATACTCGTGTGCTTCTCCTAGCATGTGTGTTGGCATCTGCGGATGTCAAGGTCCTTCCTGAAGGCATCGTTTGAGCACTACTGCAGCCCATCTCCCGCTACTCTTGCCGGAATTGCTACTTCTTATGTTGTGTCTGTGTGTGCTTCAAGCTCATGTTCCCAATGGTCTGTCTAGCCTGCCTAGTGTTGCTGCCGTTGATTGGTTCTTCGTAGTGGATACTTCAGTGCTGTCACTCCTTTTTGACAGATGCTTTGCCATCGTTGCTGCTTGGGCGGATACTTTGCCGCCGATGTTGCTTCGGGTGCCCCCCTCATGCAGGAAGCTAAGGGCATGATGCCCCCGATACTTTACCACGTTTTCTCTGGCGGATGCTTTGCCGCCGTGTTGCTCGGGCGGATACTTACTTCGCCATCGTAGTCATCACTTCTTGGTGGATGCTTTACCACCGCGGCTTCATCTTATTTGCTAGCAGCCTTGCGTTAATGAATTTTTCCTTTGCAGGTCCAGTCGGTTAGGTTTGCGGTGGAGGGTCTCTCCTTACCGCCTTACTTTCTGTTCTGTTATCGTTTAGATTCCTAACCACTTCTTCTATGGTTCTGTAACCGCCGCTATGGGTTCTCCCATACTTGTCTTGTGTAAGCTATTCTTTCGGCACTTCTTATAATGTAATACACGTGAAGTCGTGTTCTCAAAATATTAAACACAGAGGTCACCGCTTGACCGCAATTCAACCACACACAACTTTGAACCAACGCAAAGAAAACCTGACAGACGTTACTTGAAGAAAAAATGGGGGATGGCAACAGAGGAAGAACAAAATTGGATGGCAACCGCTGTGCCGCCAAAGAGAAAAAATGTGGTGATGGAAAACTACTTCGAATATTGTACACTACATTACAAGTACTTGTGTCTTGACATGTTTACTTTTACAGAGAGCTAATTTTTGTCGACTAGACTGCCATGGCTGGCAGATGCTATATTACAAATGATTGCAATTAGCAACTTACCTACCGTTGGCGCTTCCTGCTAGGTGATGCTGTATGCTGCTGCTGAGAGATGGGCGCCTCATCATCATCACAATATGTAGCAAGGTTAACGAACCTTTTGTAAGGGGGTATCCTTGATTCCCATGCTACTAGCTCAAACTCTGCCCTTGGCAGAACAGCTGAGCCAGAAATGAGGTCTCCAAACATCACCTTGGGCAATCCGGTTTTGGAATCGTCAGCTTCACTACGAGGAGGCATCAGGCGAAGTGTGGCAGATGATGGCATTGAGCAGGATGATGATACAAGTCTGGTTATGTCTATAGGACGTTCTTTGTCCATGAGGTTCTTGGGATGCTCGCCGAACACGGAGAAGTTCTTCTGCACCACGTTCGTGTACCTTTTTAATAGGCTGACCCTGAAGTGGGCGTTCTGGTTTCTCCTGAGCATGTCAGCACAGACGCTTGCTGTGATGAGCGACCCTCCCAGAGCTACTGCTAGATCTTCGGCTACTACAGCTAACTGAGGGTGTTCTTCAGGGTTTGTGCTTCCAAATGCAAGAGCCTTGAAGAGGTAGCTATACTCCTCGTGGGACAAGCTATTCAGATGAACTGGCTTTACGGTCCCAAACTGCGATAGTTCTGCAATTCTGCTTATGATTATGATCTTGCTTCCTCTCCCCATCTGCTTATTTACCGATGAATAAAAATTCCTCCAGCCCTCCTCATCCACACCTGATGTAAACTCGATGATGACCAAGGACCTCCCTGCTCCTACTCCTACCTGATGCTCCATAATTCTCCAGATGTTCTCACCACTCATGTTGAAAATTGACGAGAATTTCGACCTGGCCTTCTCATTATTGCACGCATGCGCAACTAGCGTTTTCTTACCCACTCTACTGCCTCCAAGAATTGGAAGAACAGACAGACAAATGGGGGCATATTTTCTTGTAGCAAGAAATTGATGACGCGCTGCTTTTCCACATGACGACCAAACATGAAGTGATCGATGTAAACATACGAGTCGTAGGGGCCATGGAACATGCGCTCGCACCCCCCAAGAAGCAACACAAACTCTTGCATATTGGAAACAGTGGACTGTAGATTATCCAGTGTAATTTGAAGCTCATTTATGTTTGATGATGAAGTGCACATCATGGTACGGAGTCTTCGCTTAATACAAGTGGCGAATGACAATTCATTGAAGTTATTGCTAACCTCGCTTTCAGTCGTGGAGGAGCTACAAAGAGTCCTGTACTTGATGGTGTCCAGGACGAGGTAGCCTTGGTACATGACCTCCACAAGCTTCTTGAGCTGAAGCAGCATCTTTGAGTTGGTGATGTATCGCACCTCGGCCTCCTCGACGATCATATGAGCTCTAACAACTAGATCTTGCAGCCTTTTCATCTTCTTCTCCAGCTGCTCCTCGCTTTTGTACTTGTTGAACAAGAAGGACATGAACCGGTTAACTAGTTCATCTGCAACTGCAGATACAACCAGCTCCATCTCAATTATCTTTTTTTGCTAGCCGCGCCTCTCTCTCACAGAGATCTCTTAAAGTTTGAGTGTATTTATCCTTCGAATTCAATCTTTTTACGTGGACGACGGGAAAGCTGAGTTCGGTCAACGAATGCTACGCGTTGGAACATCAATCGCCACCTAACCTTGTTCGTTTGTTTGGTTTCTTGAGTGGCCAGCGCATAGGGGCCAAGTCAGGATAAAATATAGCCGGGATCGGTCCAAACACACATAGTACTAACTTTGATAATAGAATGCTAAAAAATATTAATAACAGATGATATTTCGACGTGTTTGCTTCTCTTTAAAGCTGCTGACAGTGTCCAGCAGTTTAGAAACTGTAGCCACACAGTAGCACGTGCAGCCAAGCGAACATGACTATTATAAGCTCGCACATAATCGATATATAAAGATTATTCTCACTACCAAGATCATTATGTGTTAAATTGCAACCAATGGGTAATTAGCCAACTCTATTAAATTATAATTTGAAAACCTCAAAGTAATTATGGGAATTTAAGCAGTGATGGTAATAAGCGATTTAAAATTTACCTCGTTAAAAGACTCGCTAAATTATATAAGCTGCAAGTAAATAACTTGGTTTATGCAATCATCAATATCTCTTTGGCAGGGCTTTTCCAAAAATGGAGAAGCTTGTTTTGATGGCTTTGGCTTCTCGCACCAAAATGACTTCGGATCCGGTATTTTTTTGTTTGTATTCGACTTTTGAAGCCGTTCTCTTGTGTGCTCGTTTCACAACTAATGTGAGGATTTGTAGAGACTGTTGGAAAGCCTCTATATTTTCGATCGTCTCTACAATGTTCTGCCACATCTACAAAGCGGATATCAAGGGATAGCTGGAAACAGAAGCCGCCTCTAGAAATCAATTTGTAGAGACGGCTGTATTTTGATCCGCCTCAATAAATCGTTGTCCAAAAATAAAAAATCTAGGCCTAAAAATAGACAAAAAATTATTGTAATCCGAGTAGGCCAATGAAGTGAGTCTGCTTTTTCTTGTTGAGATCTATGCATTCATTGCCAACTTTTGTTCTTAGTCCCACATCAACCTGTGCTCCCAGCTTGGACTCCTTCCACCTCTCCTCCCTCTTCTTCTCGTAGAGTATATCTTGAAGAATTTCCTTGAATGGTCTAGCATCTCCTCCACGCTTCAACCTGTCCTTTGCTAACTTCCTTCCAATTGGCCTCTTCTTTAACAAAACAGAAGGAAGGACTTGGATAAATTCTTTAACAAAAAAGACATCCCATGGGTCAATTTAGTATGGGAAAAGCATTACTCAAATGTAAAGTTACCTTCTAGAATTAAAAAAGGCTCTTTTTGGTGGAGGGATATTCTTAAATTGCTTGATAAATTCAAAGGGATGGCCTCAATAACAGTATTGGATGAAAAATGTTTTCTTTTGGGAGGACTTATGGAACATCTTTGTCCCCGGAATAAGCTTCCCTAGAATTCCATTCCTTTGCTAGAAACACTTTTATAACTTCAGAGAAACTTTGCACAACTGATGATCCAACAACCCTTTTCTCCCTCTCTTTATCTGAGGAAGCTTACTCCCAATTTCTGCAACTCAGCATCCGGCTAGATGTTCTAAACTTGACCCAAGAACCAGATACATGGAAATACATTTGGGGATCGGTCACTGCAAGGACACAATGAGGTGATCAGACATTCTCATGGATTTGGAATTCATCTTGTCAGCCAAAACACAAAGTGTTCTTTAGGTTATATCCAAATGATAGACTAAGTACAAGGAATATTCTCAGATGGAAGAACATGCACTTGGATAGTTATAACCGCGTTCTATGCTTTCGAAACATTGAAAAAACGTTAGAACGCTTATTCTTGTATTGCCCCTTTGCGAACATCCTTGCTTTCTAGCCCCCTTAGAACTGCACCGGACTTCAGGCAATTGAAGCTTTTAAATATCAATTTGGCTTTCCATTCTTTATGGAACTCTTCATAGTACTACTTTGCTCGTGCGTCTGGATAGAAAGAAAACAACCTCGTCTTCAAAGGAATTCAGCCAAGTACCCTGAAGTGCAGAACAAATTTCAAAAAGGATTTAACTCTGTTGTTACACGGGGTTAAAAGAAGAATAGAACTCCTTTTAGTTTCATGGACGGATAGAAAACTCCTTGTCATAATTCTTCACCTTCTTCTCTTCTTCCTTTCTTTTTATGTTTCTTCAGTCATTACTTTCTGTACCCCTTGTTTTGTACCAGTAACTTCCTTTTTTAATTTAATCACAGTAGGGGCTTTGCCCCTCTATTTCTTCAAAAAAGGAATGACATGGTTTTTGAAAACAAAATGAATTCTTTCTAGTAGGTTATTTACTCGGTTATACATTGACTTCGTATATGGAGTATCCCATAGAAGCTAACATCACAAGATTTGGTTGCGACTGCATCTCAATGATCGGTGCATGTGGCCAAGGACTTTTTACCTAGGCACATGTATGACAGCCTAGTTTATGGATTGAATGTTACTAGTATGCTGAACTTATTAAATCTTTTTGTAAGGCTACATGTATCCTAGTTATGGTCCTTGTATCATCTCGTTGTAATGATCTTAAAATTAATAAAGCTTACCTTATCGAAAAAGATGCATGTATGCATGCTGATGCGAAGAAATACAGAACAGTCTTTCATTATACGCCAAATATTAATATTGTTCCTGCAATTCATCTACACTATCGGCAGGATTTAAAGTGTTACATACAAGAATCTACCTAAATTTAAGTATACATAATCAGGACCCATTACTTAGTCACTGAAACATCATGATGTTCTTGATATATTTGACTTAATAGGACCATGTGTCGCGGGGTCGGAACCGCGGCAAGCATTGTTGTTTGTGGTAGTGTGAGTGTGTGTCTCCGGTGTCTCGGGTGGACTCAAGAACACAAGAATCACAGAGGGGACGTAATGGATTATTATGGTTCGGGCCAATCAGTGCCCTACGTCCAGCAGCTGATGATCCTTATACTCAAGAGCACCCAAAATCAGGGGTGTTACAACAGAGTGTACAGGAGAAAGAGAGAGATTTGGTATGGGATCGCTCGGTGCTGATCCTACGGGCGCCTCGCCACCGGTGGAGCCTTCCCCCTCGCCGGAGAGGAGGAAGACGGTGGATGCGGAGGAGGAGCTCTCGTTGCCCCTCTCTGGCTTGCTCTGCTCTCAGTGCAGAGCTCGAGTGGAAACGGTGAGGACACAAATGATCCGCGTGGAATCCTCCTCCCCCCTCTTAGGATCCGACCTCCCCCTTATATTCCGAGGTAGGTCGGATACATGGCGGTTTAGGGGAGTTGAGCCTATGGTCTACATGCGCTGGAGTCTAGGAGGGTCTTGCAGCGGCGTCGTGTGGACCGTGACGATGTCGTGGAGCCGAAAAAGCTCTGGGCGTCGTTCGGCTACTCTGTTTTGACACGCTGAGCATTAGGCTGTGTTGGCTTGGACCAGCTTCCCCAGGTGTGCCTTCTAGAGGCTTCTTTGTGGCGAAGGAGGCTGGCTCGAGGGGTTGACGTGCAGGCCTAGGAGCCCCCGAGCCCCTAGAGGCCGCGGAGGAGTTTGTCTTCTTGCATCACACCTCGTGCGTGATCCTGTCGGAGAAGTGGTTGATAGCGCCACGTCTGTTAGGTAGCGCTAGGGAGCCCTCGAGCCTTGGTGGCTTGGGGCGTACCTTCTCATGCCTAGGCCTTGGTTGGTGTTGGAGGCCGGGAGGGAGCCCAGGATTGGGTCTAGGCTTCCGTTGATCGGGAGCCTAAGGCTCGGTCGAGCCCCTAAGCCCTGAGCGAAAGCGGCGGTCACGCTCGGGCTTTGCCTGATTCCTTGGCCTGAGGGTACATTTGATCCCGAGCCCCGGGCGATCCTGGAGGGGTCGGTCAGGGGGTCTCTTGGTCAGGAACCTTTGATCCCGAGGCTTAATATACCCGTATGTTAGGATCTCGTCAGGAGCCCCCAAGCTCTTCATGGCCTCACTTGACCAGATTCGTGATGGTGATGAAGGGCTCAATTTCATCTTCTAGTGACCGAGCTAGCCATGGCGGGGATGACTTCTGCTGACGAGAGCGCGATGCCCTTTGTGGTGGCCTTCCCAAGTGAGATGGGGAGCTTCGGCTATCAGGGTTTAGTGATGGTGTTGCTGACCCCTTTCTTGACCCATGTTGCGCGAGTCTATGGCCTGAGCGAGGGTTCAGTGAACTCGTCTGGGAGTTGCCGACCTTGGGCCCGGGGCACCATCCTTCCTAATCTAGGCCTATCGTGGGTCAGGTGATCGAGAATATCTAGGCTCTAGCTTGGGCCACCTAATCACTCGGCGCGCCACGCCCTTCTGAGGGCTTCGATAGCAGGCCCCGATCCTCTTGGGCTGACCTTTGCAGTCATTGGTTGGGGTGCAGGGAACACACCGAGCTTGACGTGAGCCCTCGTTGGGTCCACTGCTCAGCGGCTCCCGACCCAACTCTATTGAGTTGGTTGGTTTTAGGGGTGTGCCGCCCGGGCGCCCATCGATCGGGAGGCTGAACCCTCCATCTGGCAAGTTGGCGCAGCCCCCGAGGCCATCGTAGGGCCTCCTTGTCAGCAGGTGTTGACGATTGTTAATGTCAATCATAAACCGTCAATATAACCTGTATATATGCTAAATTCCATCACTAAACATAGGTCTAGGGGTTTAAATTAGTAAATTCCATAAGTTTTGGTGAATCTATGAATGTAGGAGGATTTAATCAGAAAACAAGCAAGGTGGACCCAATCGTCAAAGCAAATCAACTTTATCCGTGATGAAACCAACTTAGGAAGGATCTAGAATCATCCAGAAGGCAAACCACCGAAGATCAAGCCGAGAGGCTAACAGGGGGGCCAGTCGACCCCACCCCTAGGCTGGCCGGCCTGTCGGACCCACCTATCAGGCTCTCCTTCGTACGTTGGTTTCCCACCGCTTTAAAGATCAAATCTACGTCATTGCTCAAGGT